GCTGATTGTTCCATCGCCGAAAAGTTACTAAGATCGCGGAATGACTCTGCCACCTTTCAACCTTTCTCGAAGTAGTACAGCCTAATTTCGCGAATATGCGAATGGTTCTCTAAGCACGTCTTTGTAGAGGAAATCAAGCAGATCACTTTTAGAAAAAACCCGAACTCAGTATTCAAATTCTATCGAGAGAAAAAAAAAGCCGCGAAAAAATCCGCAATAATTATGCATCAACTAAATAGAAAGTTTAGAGAGTCGCAATCTGAAGATGTGCATCGGAGAAGAAGTCTCAATGGATTTACTGAAACTGCGCATGAATCGAGTATGACATATGATCTCAGAAACGCAATTTATCTGGAAGCTTTCCAGATCTCTGCTTCTGTTTACATTTTTTGCCTTCGGCACATTTTTCGTATAACAAAATAAACCAATTAACGGAATTTCCTCCAAAATTAAAGGACCATCACGACAGTTCACAAAAAATGTTCACTTATAGGGACGAGTTAGCATGATCTAGAACTTGGGGACGGATTGCCCATCATTATCCGATCCAGAACAAGAGAGCCTACCATCCCACGGCTCAATTACCGATTCTCTGCGGTCAAAGTGTAGTTCAAATACTCATACAAACTGGATGTTAGTATGGTAGAGTTCATGCATTGTGTCACATTAAAATGAAAGAGATGGTTGTTCTTATGAAGGAATCGAATCTGGAATTACACGACCAAAATTAAAGGACATGAATCAAGTATACGTCATTGCCATCTCGGTTATCTTGAATAAGTGAAGAGTAAAAGAATGAACTTACGACTCAAAACCAGAAGTATGAGAAACGCACTGCACCGTGCCAGAAAACCGTGATAACATTGAATTCTCAGTTTTTGAAATCGTCGAGTGCGTAGCGATCGATACTTTTTCAAAACCGAGTAATTGTCAAATTTGAGCCATTCGAGTAACTACAGAACAACTGAAGTTCAGGGAAGATATCAGAACCGCTGTGAAAAATGAAAAGACATTGTGAAGCTGTGTGACCCTATTGTGAATCGAATAATCAACTCAGAGTTTCTATGAGTAGGAGGATGTTGGAACTACCTTTATTACAAGCTTCGACTTATTTTGATGTACGTACTTGTCTACTTCTATTTAGTTGCTTGTTCGGCTCATAGCTAAATGCTTGCGTCTGTGTTTGTCTGTTGTTTGTCGGTGGTTTTATGTGCAGGTGCGTGTTTAATTCATAACTCCTTTAAACTGGGCCTGAAGCGTTACAAATTCAGAAGGAATCCAGGTGGCAGGATGAGAGCATTGCTGTCACGTAATAGAAAAAGATAACAACTTATAGATTCATTGATAGGGAGCTTCTGAAAGCAAGAGTAGTAAATCCGCCCCCGATAGACTAATATGGAGCCATAGAAGGTAGGAGTCACTGAAATGGATGTGTTTTCCCTGTCAACAGTGAAGCTTTGACACTTTGGTTGGTGGTTTTTTGTGGTATGAGGAAATCGGATGCTGGATGCTTGATGACAGGGAATGATAACCGCTGATATGGCCTGATAAGTGGCTATAGAAGGTAACAGGTAACAGTCTGTAAAGTCCTTGTGCTGATGAGTAACCTTGGCACACGGACGAAGGATGTGTCGAAATTGAGGACTCCTGATGACATTAACTGATCACAGCAAACTGAGGTTGAGAAGAAGCTATAGAAGGCAGAAACCATGGGTCTAAGCCTCCTTTCGGGTTGATAATGGAAGCTTGACTTCTTGGGGAAAAATGTGAAATTTGTGGGGATAGTAGATGGTTGGTGAGAAACAGTACGTATGTAGTAACAATCAATAATTA